GGCGCGAGTTATTGGCGAAAAACAGGAGGGGTGGGCGAAATCCGCCCCCCCCCCTTCCACTGCGCGTGTTAAAAAATTATCGCAAAAAAGTGGGGTCTCAAGGGGTTTGACGTCCATAGTATGTAGTTTTAAACACATGGTAGATTTGCCGGAGATGGGCTCATATGAATTGGGCGATTGCTCATTGTCGTAAAATACCCATTTCTGAGACAGTAGTTATTTTCAAAGGTCACGGCTTTTTATTGTAAAGGGCTGAAAGTCATCCATGTTATGCAGATGTGGAGGCGCATTATAATTCCTAACTCCTTGTAGGTATTGAGAGTGAACATTTCATACTCATGTTCTCTTCATCTACATCATCCATTTCTTATAATGTGGGATACCAGACATCCTGCTTGTTCCGCTAGCCCCAGGGCCCAGAGCATAGCCCCAGGCATTTCTCGGAAACGGTGACAAGCCGGTGAAGTCATCCATGAAAAAAACTCGGCCTGGACCGCCCGCACGTGACCCACTGGAGCTGGGTCGTCCGCCGGAGCTGTCACCGGCTATCAGTGACCGCCAGTCCGCTGTGGTTGCTGAGTGACGTCAGAGTCGAGCCTGGAGCCGGCTGATAGCACCGATGACGTCATTTGTGACGTCAGAGTGGCCTGGGCAGCCCGCGGATGGACAGACGTGGTGGAATTGATTCTATGGGCTTGGGAGTGAGGTAGTGTGGTTAGGGAGGGATCGTTCCGGGAGTTTTGCGGGGCAGTGATTGTGTGTGATTGAGTCATGTTTATGTGATTGTTGTGGATTGGGCGTTTTTGTATGCTGGACTTTGACGTTTTGGTTTCTGGTAGATCCTGTGGTAGATCCGGGTGATTTAGGTATGGGCGCCATTAAGTATCAATTTTAGATATTCGATGAATGGATGCTGGATGGCACGACATGCAGCATAAATGATGAATAAATTGAAATGGATTATATAGCTCAAACGTTTGTATTTTGGTACTAAAGATTCAAAGCATAGAAATAATAAAAGATGAGATATAAAACACGCTCTAGTGGCGTTGCTTTGAGGCTCTGATATTTGCATGGGCATTAGGGGAAGCCGGGGGAAGCCCGGGCACGGGGGAAGCCCGGCCACCCCGTTTCCGGCTAAATTATTCACAATAAAATGCTCTGAAATAAATAATATAAAAATAAATAAAAATAAACTGTTTGTCCTTTCAGCGTGGCAGCTAAGGTAACGCCAGCAAAAAAGTTAAGGCTGACAAAAATTGCATATTGTTAAAGTTATAGCGCAAAAATGATATTTTAAGGGGTTTTAGCTAAAAAGTGACATATGTTGCACTGTTAATGTTATACCATACAGTACTAATATTTATACGAATGTTATGTAAGGACCGTTTAAGTGTTTGTAGTGAGGGGTGACGAGGCAGGCTGGCTTGAGTATGACATTTTTTCGAATATCGCTGTTCTAAAATAAAAATTAGCACATTGGGGTAACCCCGGGCGAGTGGCTAAGCTTACCCCCAACCGAGAGCAATGCCACTAAACCACGTTTTCCATGAGATAATAGGTACTGAGCAGGTTTGGTTTACACCTAGATCAAAGATAAATTTCGAAAATAAACATGTTATCATAGACAAAGCCAGTCATGTCACTTAAGGTCAACTAGGGTCAAACTACGTTTTTGCAGATAACGCGACAGACAATGAAGCTAGAGCTTCAAAAATGGTGTCGTGTTCTTCTTCATCAGCCGAGTCGAATGATATGCAATATGATGCATTAAGGTAAAAAGAAAAAGAAATTTTAAGGAATTTTGAAATACACATTTTTTGTCAATTTTGCATCACGATTTGCATCGACCTGTACTGTATATGTAGTAGACGCTAGCTAAAATACCAGTAGTGACATAAACTCTAAGATGTCCAGAGCTAATCAGTACCTTAATATTTCACTTTCCGTTAATATTTGGAAAACACGTAATGGTTTCATCAACTCGTTGTAAAGCGCTGGGGAGGTGGCCGGCGTTACCCCTATGCCGGGCTTACCCCAGAAAAATCAACACTTTTTTAAAACTCGATTTTTCTCAACCTTATACTTATTCCACAAAACCGAATTTTTGGGAAAACACGGCCAATGAACTTAGCTAGCTAGCAGGATATCAACATTTTATACAGCACGTATGGTATGTAATAAAAATGAAAAAGAGCTTACTATGCCGGGCTTCCCCCGGCTTCCCCTAATGTTATGCATACAGATCGTGTTTAGCTCTTAATGGGTGTTGATCGACATTGGGCATCGCTGGCTAATGTGGTCCGAGTAGCTCTAAAACACAAACATCATCATCGTCTGAGTTGATCCTCCACTTCGGCCAAAGCCCCGTCTCTCCTGGGACCCCATGCTGGTTGCACTGACCAGTGACCCGATCAAACACATGTACCAGACCAGTCTCCGGTCAGCAACTCGCGCGAGCCGCGCTCTGCACATGACCTTGGCTGCAAATGATGTGCAGAATCGTACGAGCGACTCGCCCTGTCCAGTCGTCAACCCAAGACGAGTGGGGAGCGCTCCTAGCACGACCAACTACATCGAACGGTTGTCATGCAGTGGTTTGGGGCACTCGCTGGCAAGCTAGCCTTGTTTCTTGTCGGGTGAGAGTTCCCTGGGGCGAGTTTCCCGTGTGGATGTGAACGGTGCGGCGGGAAAACTGGGTGTTTGGAAGTGATATTACGTGTAGAGTGGTGATCAGGGCGGGTGATTTGTTTGATGAATGTCGCCGTATGTCTAATATGTCATGACGAGCCATTGTCGGGAATTGTATATCGTTAGGTATGGGTGTGGGCGCCATGTAATGCAGCTCAGAGTGTAATGGATGAAACTTGAGGTAGCCATATTTCCACTGGATAGCTTTGCATATGGCATCTTTTGTACATTATAGCACTTGGCAGCAATGTAGCCTTTCGTTTAAAATGTTCATCTTTATCTATAAAACGGACCTGCTGCTTCTTTGTTGGAGCTTGGCCTTTGAGACCCTGACCTGGGCGTGACGTCCTCATGGTTTGACCGTCAAAGCTCGGCACACCTTCCTGTGATTGGCTCACTCGAGCTACTTTGTAATTCCGCTCTAACATATGACTTGACATGTTTGCTGTCACGTCTGGTAGTCATGTCCCCGACCCACGCCTTCCACCGACACCGAGAAGGACCTGGGACCAACAACTCATCCTTGGAGACACCCTGTCGATTCTGCCTCTCAGCTCCCACACTCAGAGACGCACTCAGTCGCCCCTCAAACTTCAAACCTCATCCACTCGTCGGTCCTTCGGTACTCGTTCGAGTGTAGTGATGGGAGATAAGAGGCTGCTGTCTGACTGAATGAAGCAATCACGTTTCACCGCTACCCACTATCACCGTGAGGAAGAGTTGCGGCGGAGGGGTGCGTTAGAGTGAGGCGATACGGCTCACTCTAACGCAATGGACATCAGCGTCCAACAGCAGTGGTCCGCCGAGGCGTTTTACGTTCCTACAATACCCGTCACGACTATTAAGTGAAAGTCCTCTTCGTCCCGCTACCGTCACCTGTCCTCGACTGTTACTCGATGTGTCAGTTTGACAGGAGGTCCGTACTATGGAGCTGTCACCTGTCACAGAGCCAGTGCTAGGGACTGGGCAGATAAGCGGGCAAGGTCGGGCTGTAGCAGCTGGCTGTCATGCCCTCAATGAGTTCATTCGGTCTTCCCGTTGTCCTTTGAGGGAATGAGATTTGGAAGGGAGGAAAGAGGGCCGTCAGAGGGGGGAGAGAGAGAGAGGGAGAGAGAGAGAGAGAGAGAGAGAGAGAGAGAGAGAGAGAGAGAGAGAGAGAGAGAGAGAGAGAGAGAGAGAGAGAGAGAGAGAGAGATGCAGGTGTAGGGAGCTGAAACTAGACAGAGGGAAGCGGAGAAATGAGTGTGAAGGCGGAGTAGAATGTGAGGGCCACAGTAGCGGCCATCGCCGACTGCCCGTCATGCTGTCCTTGTCCTCGCCTGCTCCGTTCATCGTAACTCGCCGGTCTGACTTTGTTGAATGGCTGTGGGTGCGGCATCCACCCCGCTCTGTTAGAGGGTCAACTGTCTTGACCAGGGTGGTCAAGGATGAGTACTGAAGAGTGAACAGGGTGAGTCCTTTTCCATCGCTACCGATGGCTGACCGGGGAACCGGAAGCTCACGAGTGTGTGCTGGGCTGGGATGGTCGCTACAAACAATACGCAATCGAGATGGGTGTTGGGTATGTTGCACAATAGGCACTTCCTTTTTCATCTATAAACCGCTTCCTGTGTCGCTCTGCTTTTTTTGCATAGCTTTTCGCTTCATCCCGGTGCATATTTATCTACAGTACAACGCAATGTGAGCGGGAAATAACTCATCCAACTTAGCTGCCCGATCCCGGACCGTTGAACCCGCGCCTATCAGTGCCCCACGGCTCGGTACCGGGCGCCTGTCTTCCCATCGTTGGCCTCGCAGGCCACCACCCACCTACCATTGACCCTGCCCGGTTCCGCGTGACCCCACGGGGTGCCGGATGTCCCGCCGTGTACCTGTCAGGTCACCCGGGCCTGAGCCTGTCAGTCAGGGAGGCTGGGAAGGGGTGAGAGGTGCTGACAGCTGCCCGAGTCACTCGCACACGGACAGGTCACGCTTTACTTTGTGACATAGACGTTATAGCGTTATGATTGGCATGAATAATCCGGAATTCTTACCACACATCAACCTTATTATTGTTCCGTGTGACTACTTGTCGTATGGCAATGACGATTGTTTCGTCCGGTCACATTCTTTTCACACTACGAAGAAATGCTTTCTTACAGTTTCTGACGAACCGACGATAAATCATGAATCATTTTACACACCCTGATAATGGGCATGATTTAGCTTGAAATCTCCAGAATAAGAATAATAATGTTGACCACTGACCTACATACATATCTCTGATCTCCCCTTCCCTATAGCTGACCTCCGTTCTCCCTCCCCCACAGGACTTTGACCTCGAACGAAAGATCGATGTGGAGATCAAGATCCGCGAGGGTTCCTCGCGGCTGCTGGCGGCCTGCAAGCACCCGCAGCAGTCTCTGGAGGCCTCCAAGACGCTGCTGACCTCCAACGAGCGCATGGCCACCTACCTGACGGAGCTGCAGCGGAGGAAGGACGTCGGGCACACCGTCAAATGGTGGGTCAGCGGGAATGGACCCGGGGGCGTGGACTAGGGGAACGGGGAATGCGGTGTCGCGGAGGAGATATGGGTCAAAGAACGTTTGTTATGGGTAAGAATATGTGCTAGTGCAGGGTATAATCGCTGTCCATCGTTCCTTTCCGAAGTGTTTGATGAATTTTTGTGATAGTGATAACCGCTGATATTGGCCGCCCGTCGATGCCAATCATGCATTCGATGAAGTTTCCCATGCTCAGATCGCTTTGTGTCGCTACAATCGGCATAATCCTCTGCAGCTGGGTGACATTTTCGCCGAAACACCGGCGTCCCTCGGTGTTATCGCGACAAGCAACTAGCATGCGTGATTTAAAATCACCCTGGTATCGTGCTTTTGGCAGTTCGCAGTTTTTGGCCGATCAGCGATAGAAACCAGCTGATGTCAAGTATGGCACCGAAGAACAGTTAGGCCGCATTTCTTATTAACGAGGTTTACGCTTCAGTTTGTTATAACTCACCGAAACCAATACCTTTCAGAGAAATCACTGTTTCGACCGCTCTGTGTACTGTCATGCCTCTTTCTTTACTGGTTCTTCACAAACTAGGGCGCTGAAATATTAAACTCCCATTAGCTGAACCGCTTTCATCAGCGATTTTCTTTGATCACGGACCATGTCATCGCCACTTTCAATCAAATAAACACTCGAGAATCCCGCTCCAGATGAATATTAGCTCAAATAAACACGGCCGACCACGCTCTCCAGAAACTGGCCGGAGGGCGTCTTTGGGAACGAACTGACGCGGCGTTTGCCATACAGTGGCCGTCGCTTACAGCCCGGGTCTTCTGTCCGATTGCCTCAAACCTCCGTGCCGCAGTAACCGAGCAGCCCATTCGTCGCATTCGTGACGAGTCGCTCACGCAAGGCCGTCGTTTATTGTACCGCCGGTCGTTCTGTCCACTGTCTTAAGCAATGCTCCGTCTAATCCTGAGGCTGTGGTTGGGCCGAACTCGTACTGTTTTACCCGCGGGAACCTCCTGTCGTCTGGGTCTGGTGTGAGACCAGTCCGGGGCCTTGAGAGGTCCGCTGCAGAGGCGACTGTGACGGCGGTGGCCTCAAACGGCCCTACCCGTCGGCTGCTGATTGAAGTACCAGATTGGCGTGACGCCTGCAGAGGAGCGTCACTCCGCGCTCTGCCGCGTCACGCCGCTCCCCCACCGTCACGGCCGGTGCACGCGCCTCACGCACTGACCACTGCCGGACTCGGCCGTCACGGGTCAGAGGAGCTCTCTAAGAACGTCTCTCGGCCGTATTTACACTAGCCAGACGACAGAAACCACCGCAATCGTACCGCCTGCGCCCGGTAACGTTACTTTACCGCCCTTGCGAAACGTTATTCCACCGCCGCGACACCACAACCTCCGCCCTTAACCACTCGAAAGCCTGCCGAGGTTTGGTGTTTGCAGGCAAGGGCAAACGGCAGAGCGCTGCCCCACTCGGCCGGAGCTGCGGTTTGGGTGCTGAGCGGGTGCTGATAAGTGCCGAGTCGTTCTGCGTACTGCGTTACCATCTGTCGTTTGCGGCAGTAATGAGAGATGGTGTAAACACTGTGTGGCAGTGTGCGTCATTGGGTGTGGGGCTGGGGGTGATTCACTCATGCGTGATGGGCGTGTATTTGTGCTAATGGATTTGCGGAGTCCTCTGTGACTCCGGGGGACCAAATGTTTAGAAAAGACTTCTGAATTACAAATACACCGATGCTACGACTTTTGTTACAAAATTATTTTCGGTGGTTGAGTTTTGTCAGTCAGTGCTTGATTTTGTGATGATTCTTAAAATTACTTTTTTGTCGAACAATCTGTCTGCCCTCTGCCTCTAAGACCCCATCGCAAAGTCCAACGCTGCATTCCACCACCCATGCCGCCGCCACCCACCCATAATTCACTCACCCCTCACCCAACTTCCATATAGGTACCTCTCCCGACCCCGCCCTTTCATTTCTCCCTCCCATCTCCATCACCGTATGTCTGCGCGTCCGACACTGAAATCTCCGCCCTCTCTGGCCCGGGTCACGCGCACACGCTGCAGTCCAGCCATAGTGACCCCGGCTCGGTCACGCTCGCACTATCATCCGGTCACGGCACCTCGCTATAACGAGCGCACGCGCGATAGATCTGGTCCGCTGCGGTAGGCTCGCCGGTGGGACAGAGTCTGCAGGATGGTTTATGGGCCGCTGATGGGTGTGGCTGTGGCGGGACGGGGCGGCGGGAGAGGGGGAGGGTGCGATGACCCGCTGGGGGCTGGATTAATTCCAAAACTGGTGCGTGATTTGGTGCTTGTCGTCTATTTGTCAGAATTCGCCGCCTATTTTAGCAGCGCCATTTACTCGATCTAGCATCTGACATCAGTTACCCTTGCACTGCAATCTGCACCACTCCTTGTACCAGTTTCACCAATCTCTCGTCGTCACGCCAATAATCAGCCCTGCTCACGCTTACCATTTATTTCGAATGCATAACTCGTGACCAAACCACGCTATTCCTACATTTGACCGACCGCCCTACCGACTTCCTCTTTCACAACTGTCTTTCATCGAGTGTTATACCACCCGCGTTCACAGTGGCTACCAAGTCCCGAGCGGCAGAAACACAGATGTGACGTCCCACCCGAATCCCGATAGCTGTTCCGGGCGTCGAGGGCTGTCCAAACTGCGTGCACGGTGCATGCACACTGCACAGCCTGGTGTGGAGGTACCGTTGGTGGCCAAACCACGTGATATCGCACACCCAGGACCTGGTGACGGCTCATTTAGTTCGTGGTGTGTGGGCTGGTTGCATCACTTTCAGAGGAAGTGTGGTTGGGACGCGAAGGGTGAGTTTTTAGATGTTTTGGACTGACGACCATATGGTGGATGGGCGGCGAATTATGCTGTGGTTTGCGAATGGGAGGGGGAAACTGATGGGATGTTGAAATATTTAGTGAAGTATTTTCACATAGTCCAGTGCCCACCAAAGCGCAAGGATTGCAAAACACGTTTCCTGGTTACTTGAAATCTTGCGGAATGGCAAACTTGATTCAGTTAAGCATAACCATAAAAAACAATGTTTTAAAACATGTTATCTCTTCACTGCTCAGGATGAAGCAGAGCCTTCCCCAACCGTGATTCAGTTCAGTCAGTCGGGATGGCTCCGCCGCATGGCCCGTCCCTCGGCACATATGTCATACTACTGGAATGTGGGGCAGAAATGGAATGTCTCCTCCGGAGTCCGGGGAGCGAACCTCAATTCGACTGATGAATAGAGAGGGGGGGGGGCGACCGCCCTCGTGATACCCAATCCCGGGTCATATCTCTGGCGTGGAATTTCTCTCTTCTCTCTCCCTTCGCCTCTCACCCCTCCCCGCACACGCATCTGTTCGGTATCTTATTCCAAGTTCATCTCAGTCCCTCCCCTTCTCTTGCACCCCTTCTCGTTCTCTGCCTCCTCCGGCGCCGCCTCTTATCTAAGGAAAGCGAGGAAAGATGACAGGACGGCTGAGAAGAGGAGCTCCATGGGGTTTCGCAGGTCCCCCGCACACTGGTCCGGATGTGGCACGCGCCCGCCCCTCTCGGAGCCACGTGCCATTCCGCGGCGGAAATTGGCGTGGCTGATCAGTGTTTGGGCACCGGGGAGACACGGTGGACGGAAGGGAGAGAGGGTGGGAGGGAGAGGAAGGGAGAGGAAGGGCAGTGTTTCCGGTCGCTAGAGGAGGGTTGTAAGCAGGGATGCGGAGCCGTGGAAATTTCAGACGGCTCCGGCTCCGGCTCCGGCTCCGGAGAAAAAAATCGGCTCCGGCTCCGGCTCCGGCTCCGGGTGAAATGTTGTGGCGGCTCCGGCTCCGGCTCCGACTCCGAGTAAAATGGTCCGGCTCCGGCGGCTCCGGCTCCGACTCAGTACATCCCCTATGCAATCAATTAAATACGGGTGGAAGAAAAATTGGATTGGTTATACGCGTTACTCTTTGCCATGACCGGCTCACCGCGTCCCCGCGCAAACGCACCTCGGAGAGAACTGGCAGAACAAAGAACTAGGAAGCGATGGCATTGGAAACGCAGTCGCCGCGAATTGGAGCTCACTGAACCATCGTAAGCTGACACCAGTCTCGGCTGCATTGGGAGTGGGAGTGGGGGGGGGGGGGGGGGTGGGGGAGGGGAAGAGACGGTGCTGGGAGTCGCAGTCCACTGCACTGGCTTGAAAACAATGGCCGTCACCTGATGACCGGTCCTCATGCTCTCCGGGGATGCAGTAGACGTGGGGGGGGGAGGAGCAGACAAGAAGTTGATTGCGTACTGTGGGATACTGGGGATATTCGGCTTTTTTCATTCACTTGATGGCCCATGACGTAAGTAAAGTACCATATGTTTTACTGCCTTGTACTGTCAAACCGAACTAGGTCAATTATTTTTTTCCTCTTCAAAAAATAAAAAGGAGCCGGAGTCGCCCCCTTTTTTGGCGGCTCCGGCTCCGGCTCCGGCTCCGGGCTATATTGTTTCACGGCTCCGGCTCCGGCTCCGGCTCCGGGCAAAATATGCCGGCTCCGGCGGCTCCGGCTCCGACTCCGGCTCCGGCTCCGCATCCCTGGTTGTAAGTGGTAACTACGACGCTGAGTGATTGACATTTGGCAAAGTCCCGTATTAAATGGAGTCACTGTAGGTGTATTTTTGTGCGTCTTCGTGTGCGCGTGTGTGGTGGATGGTTTATTGAAATGGATTGGTCTGAGCCAGCTTGATATTTTGTGGATGCCGCTGACATTTCATAACCGTGTTATATCTCGAGGTTGATGATGATATCTGCTAAGTGCAGAGCCGGTGGTCTCGTCATGTTTGTTGATGTGTCGTTTTCGGCATGCCTTTCAGTCGATGGATGTCTTTTTGATCGCTTTCCATAATGAATAATTTGAATTTTTGATTTTAAAATGTAATTCTTGGCGCGTGTTTCACAAGTTGGTCATAAACAACCTTCTTATACACCACTTCTACAGCATCTAATTAGCCGAGAAATGACGTCACCACTTTTATAAACAACCCACTGTTTTGCTAATCTGACCCAACTTACTTGCTCAACATGTGACAACACCGCATCCCTCCATGCCCCGCTGACATCGCGGTTATTTCCCTTTCTCGCCGCCAGGCGGCCACACATGGCCAATCTGTGCGTCTCGGACCTGCGCATGCCGCTCATCTGGAAGGAAGAAGACCACTTCCGGAACCGGGGCGACTTCCGGCGGTTCGCCGTCTTCTGCCTGGTGCGCGTCGGCACCGACATCTTCGACACGACGCTCATCAACCCGGTGGATCGGTCGATGACGGATGTCTGCTTCGACGATGTGTTTGTCTTGTGAGTTGGTGGGAGAGGGAGGTCTTGAGTGGAGGGATGGAAGGTAGGGGTGTGGTGTAAAGTGGAAAAGTGAGGGAGGCCTCACAAGCTCGGATTGAGCAGTCAGAGGCCCACCTTAGGTGGGGCGAGTCTGAATAATGTAATCGTGCCGAGTATCGGTCCCTTGCTGGTGTTAGTGCCTCCTTTCGGGTGACATCTGTTAGGTTTTTAGGCTTGCTGACCACTAACCAGGGGCCAGAGCCCATATCAACACTGAATTATGCATTGCTAATATTAGGTATAGGTATTCCACGAGTAGGCTAATTATATTTCATCGTGCACGCCAATATCTTTCAAAAATCACCGTCACAGGCTGTTACCAAGCACACATCGCCCTTTAAGTGAGTCCCCCCTCTGACGTCACCATGAGTGACAGCTGGCGGACGGCACTGAACACTCTACTCATTAGTCACTGATTAAGTCAGTGATCGGGAGTCGACCTGGTGACACCACTTGGCGATCGGTTAACCCCTGTCAGCGGGACGTGGGCCGGCCAGGGGCCCGCTGAAAAATCACGTCACCTCTCCCATGGCCGATGACTTCCAAATTAGCGTTGCCACGGCGACAGGCTATGTTAAGAAGTGTTAGATTTTGTACAGGGTGCGGTGTTACGAGACAGCAGCCAGGGGCTTGCACGGAGAAGCGTCGAATTCCTAGATAAGAGTCATTAATGAGGTTTTTATTCAGTGGATTGAGGCTCCTCACTGAGGTATCAGGAATGTGAATGAGTTGGTCTGTGTTCGATCATTTAGTAGTGACGTTGTCAAGAATGGTATGCTTCTCATGAGGGGAATTTTGGACAGATGCAGTGTGCAAATGTCATCGTATATATGCTAATGATTGTTGGGCCTCTGCTGGATAGTGTCAGTTCTCCTAATCTGGGTATTTAAATACCTCTGCCAGTGGCGCTAGGGCTGGTTACATTTCATCAGAATCCCTCCCTAGAATCCCTTATCACGGGTCCGCTTCAAACCGTTACGGATCAAACTGTCTGCTTTTCTTCGCTTTTAGGTGACAGCTGCGATGACCGACCTCCACCCGTCACCATTTAGCTCGTGATGGTCCGCGCCGACTCCCGCCATCTCGTCTAAACGCTCGGTTCACTCCATCTCTGAAATATCTCGCTCGCGCCATTTCTCCGAGAATCCCCGCGCCAAGCTGCGGTCCGACGCCCCGACCCGCTGACACGCCATCTGAAGCGACGAGCGGGGATGTCTGCCTTGCTGGGCGGATATGATATCTCGGTAGTTTATACTATGGTTAAACAGGCGCTTATTAGGTCTGTAGGGACCGGTTGGCTGCTGAGGATGGGTAGGTGCTGCAAAAGGCGGGGGAGGAGACCACTGGGACGGCGGGTAGGGACTTCTCCAGTTTGCAAAGTGCTGTCACCGGGTCTGATCAATCTTTGAACCTGTTGTTGGTTTCGGTTCACTTCAAATGTTCTGGAATATTTATCAATTTATTAATGACGTCATGTTCCATTTTTCCTGGGATGTTGCCGTATCATTCTGTTCTTGCTTAGCCGTGCACAGTCTGTAAGTTTACCTTCGTTTTCAGGACGTGGAATAGCTTCTCTCGATCAATATTGGCTGCAACATTCTGGCTTGAGGTTACCCATCCACATCTTCAGTACTGCGTCATCATTTGCCCCCACTCCCACCGCCACTCCAGGCCTTATCCTCACACCCAGCTGGATCTGGACCCCTCCCCTCCCTTCTCCACCCCACCCCTTTCCGGCCCCCCTCACATCCGCCCCACTCTCCGGGGAGTTTATTTATGTGATATGCCTGCTGGTGAACAGACGGGTGCGGCCACTCCAAATGTTTTACGTCTCTGTCAGTAGCGAATGCTTACGATCGCTGTAATAGCGGCGGTCGTGATGGTCCCACGGAGTGATTGATGTGGCCACTGGCCGGAGTTCTGGACAGGACAGAGTTTGGAGTGTGTCTGGAAGGCTGGCTGGGATTTACGGAGCACGTTTTATGTGTTGGATGTTTTTCATGTGTGATTGTCTTTACCATTCGGTAAATGATGGTTGGAAATCATGGAGCACGGGTTGGGGTAAATCATTATGCGGTCTCGTCTGAGTTCTGACCCTGGTCACTTTTCATGATGCCACAAGTGTTACATTGAATTTCAGCAGCGTGACATATAAACTGAATGTTAATTTTGTCTAGGGTACAAAGCATAGTCAGTGTTGTGTGTAAGTTGGCCTTGACGTCTAGAAAGTGGACTGTTGTGATGGAGGCGAGACTGTTGAAAGTGGACTGTGTGTGGACTGTATTTCTCAGGCTCCTTCTGACCGTCGTCCGTTCTTCTCTCTCGCAGCAAAAAGGTGTCTCCTGACTTCACCTGCTCTGTAGAAGTGTACAGCCACGTTCTGCACGAGGATCTCAGCATTGCGAGCACTCCGCGAAAGATCCGACAGACGCTTCACAGCTCTATCAGCCGGACAGTCGGCAAACGGCTGGCTGCCAGCCTCAAGGACGAGCTGAGCGAAGAGAACAGGTAGGGACATCTGGCGACTGCTCTGTGCTGCCACCTTCGGGAGGGGCGGAAAACCTGACGGGTGGTGCCGTGTAGCTGACGGAACTGCATCGACCAGGTGTCAGGATTTGTGCTTAGCGATGCTTAATTAGCTATTGTTCGGGATCATATTTAATGAGTTAGGCATGCTCTTTCATGATGTCTTCCCTTTATTTAGCTCCTTTTCAGCTAGAATGCTGCTGAATTAATCCACATTCCCTAAAAGCACTAAGCAGGCCAGTTTGCAGTACTTGTTTTCCTGCTAGCCTTTGATTTGGTCTGGCTTTCCTCTATCATTCCATTTATTGGGTTTGTTTTATATATTTTGTTTAAGAATATTCATTAGACTTGGTTTCTGAAACCCATGACGCAACAAGGAAACTCCTTAACCCTCGCCGGCACAGGCCATTTTGAGTCCTTCGACGGCACAAGGGGGGGGGGGGGGTTGGTACGCCCCCCCTCGCGTTTGGCCCCTGATCGAGCTAGAGCTTCGCGGAAAAAACGAGCGTGTTGCCCGTCACGAGAGGAAGCCGATGATACCCAATTTTAAGGTCCTAGGTCATCGGGTGACCTTCCAGGTCAGGTCAATGACCCGAAAACCGGGAAAATCGGGACCTGCTAGAAAGTCGTAAAGTGTGGCTGCCATGTGGTTTTCCGGGGTGCTGATCACGAATATCGTGTTAGTTTTGATCAGAGATGATGTCTTGAAGCATTTAGACCAGGTCGGGTCAGGTCAGGTCAGGTCAACCGGTAGGGGTTGTGACGGGTATTCGTAATACGTGTCAACCGCCTCGGACAGCTTCGTAACATGTTACGAAGGCACCAAAACTACTTCGTAAATGTTCAAATGGTTGCTAAATTCGAATTCAGCTCCAAAAACTAGCCTAGAAACATGTAAAACTCGAAAAAGTGAGCCGAGGTCACCCGAGGTCACCAAAGGTCAATGACCTGACCTGACCTTCAGGTGACCTTGACACCCACCCTAATGCATGGGAGCAACATCAAATCACATGTTTGAACGTTTGAAACCACGAAAAGCTTGCAAACGCGCGGCTAATGCGAGCCGACATGCGCCGAACCGCGATTTCGGCCAAACATGGTCACAGAAAAGAGGTCACAGGTCAAAGGTCATTGGGGTCAGGGTCATGAAATTTTCAGGGTAGGTGTACAATTGATCAATGCTAAGGTACTGAAAGTTTCGTCGCGATCGGCCGCTTTTTACGCGAGTTATTCGCGAAAAACCTTAGGGGGGGTGCATCAACCCCCCCCCCCTGTGCCGGCGAGGGTTAACATCGATAACTGGTGATAAAAGCTTTTAATTTCTTCGCAGAATCGTTTAATTTAATGTGATTAGATTATCACAATGCTCCATTTTCGTTGTCCCACGGAGTTGATGCGACCCACCTGACTCATGAACCATGTCATAGTTTCAGTTTGTTGGTCTGTCAACATGACATCACTCGAGGCGTCCCTGCCCTTTCTCCGTCGCACACGCCCCGGCCACAGTATAATGTAGGCCTACCACTGACGTTTTGGACCACAGACCACACGTTTACAGTATACACAGTACACACGGTCAGACAGGCCGCACGGCGGGACCCCACACGACCCTCCTCGGTGCCACAACAAACAGCAGACCGCCGCAGACCGCAGCTGTGGCTGGTCAGCTATGGTAGAGAGGTGGCGCTGCCTGTACCCTTTCCCCCAGTGTCGGGATCCAGCTGTGTTCCACTCCTTCCAGCGATCGCACTCACTAGCTGTCCAGCGACCGTGACAACTAACGATAAGTTAGGTATGGTGGGGATTGAGCACAAACATTTAGATGTGTAGTGGTTATATTTAGGCTTTGCGAGAGAACTGCGTCTAGGGATAGTTGTCACAGTTATGCAGCTTCGAGTTAATGCATTCAATCTTTTATTAAAACGTACTTTGATCTCCCTGTTGACATTACCCTCCCACCCCATTTGCCTCCCCACCCCCATACGCACACACGCAGACACTTCCCCCGCTTACCTGATTTCGTATTGATCCTGACATATTATGCCGTCACAAGCCACTTTAAGGATTCATTTTCCGTTTGATCTTTTCGCAAAGTCGCCGGACACATTGCAGCGTGCCTAATCATCTAAACTATGCCAAACACGCATACCTCGCCGGGAACGCACGGATATCACTGAGTGTGCGACGTGCGTGTGGGCATTTGTCAATATCGCGCCATCAATAACTAACCCGAAATTACAGAGCACGTCATTTCCAACCCCATTTCCTTCCCACGCAGGCCACTCGATGTAGCGCACTCGTCTGACTGCCCGTTCGGTGAGCGGCACCCGCCTGGGTGACTGTTCGGTGTACCACGCTCGTCTGATTGACTGTTCGTTCGGTATCCCGCCACGCTAGTCTCGCTGACCGTTATTGTCTCCTGTTACAGCGGACCCCAGTTCCGGTGTATAGCTCGCGCCAACCTGCGAGTCCAGGAGGTGGATGAGACAGTGCGCTCGCACGACCTGACCCTGTCCGGGGATGAGGCCAAGGCGGACCTGCCGCTGTTTGGCCAGATCTGCTGCCGACTTGCCGCTGAGCCGTATACGCGGCTGACCGATTCCGTCGCCGGGAAAGTGATGACTAAGGTGAGGGATTCACACAGGTGAAGGTGGTATTTCACACTTAGAGGGTTGGATTTCACACAAGTGACTGTGGAATTTCACACTAGAGAAGAGGGGATTTCTTACAGATGATGGGCTGAGCCTAGGTTAAATGTAGTTTCACACAGATGAGGGAAGCCTTCACTGAGGTAACAATGTTTGTTTTCAAACAGGTCAGGGGCGACATGTGAACAGCGAGTACCACCGTGAGCCAGTGAGGGGTGGTTTTAGTCTCTTACAGTCTGGGTGCGCTCGATGGGCTTAGCATAGGCGGGCGTGCGGGTCATAATTCCACATCAATAGCTGCGGTAGCTGAGTGTAGTGATTGAGTTGATTTTACCGTATTTTAAACGGAACCCAGCCTCTTGGTTGCATGTGATGCGAATCATTCTTTGACGAGTAGCAATCAGTTCCTTGGATTCTTTATTCCACCGGTTGGAAATAGACGCCGGACTGAGTAATTATGCAAACCTTCTGTGATGTGCCCTTACGATTGCAAGGTACCGCTGAACAATGCATTGCAGAAAAGGAACGGCAACGCCCATCGGAGAAATGTATGCGCCGGGAATGAATTATAAACATCGAATAACCTCCACACAGACACACAGTCGTATCGCACCAAAACTCTTGCTTTTCATGGAAAACCGGAAAACCGAGGCATCTCACAGGCATTATATTTCAGAGTCGAACCTTCAATCTGTCCAGTCCTCAGTATGTGCCTTCTGACGAATCGTTGACTGATGTGTGTCTAATGATTTTGTAAGTATTTTCCTTGAGTAATTTTGCGGACTGTTAAAGCATTGTGGCGGACTAGATGGACGGCACACACGTCAGGTTTTCTTAGAATAGCCGTAAGTGCGTCAGGGAAACAGAGGAGGTGCTCTTTGATGCTAGAGGTAGACAACTCTGAAAAAAAATTGATATGACGAATGTCAAAGGACGGTCTCTCTTGGCGACTCGGCCCGTCCTAGTGTGAGCCAGTTCAAATTCGAAGCTTTATTCCACATCTTGTATGGTTTGATTCTCTCAGTTCGCCCGTCCCTGAACTGTGGACGCATTGTCTTCAGAATGAATAGGATCGGCTTTGAATCAGCAGATGAATAGCACATTGGTATTGTTCTAGCTATTGGGCACGCAGAACTTGGGTAATAATGGTGAATTAGCCTGGTGCATCCTGAGTAATATTTCATGAGTTGGAGTAGCTTTGGTTTATGCGGTGAATTTGCGGGAAACGAATTCGACCGTTTTAGTGCACATCTTATCATGGGTGGTGCCTGGGAGGTGCAGGTTTTATTCAATTAGACCAGGTTTTATTCATTCATAGATGAAAATGCTTTTGCCGGTAACATTTTTGCGTATTGATACTAGTTAGGTACACCATTGTTTAGTCATGTGTAGATGTTTCTAAATTTATTTTTTTTCCACGGGGAATGTCATATTATTCTAGCTTTGTTATTCAGCTTTTGATGAGTGATGAGTTATCCAAGAGCTCTCTTCTGCAATATTTCACACTTCCATTTTCTTTGGACGCCATTTCGTTCAGCACTTTTTCCTCGGATGTCAGCTCATTAAATATCCAAGTATGAAAATAACCAATCGTCTGTGACTGCGACATTTCCACGAATAATGTAGGCCTAGTTGGCATGATTTCATTCTCGTCACGGCGTTCCAAGTTGACGGGCAAGTTTGGCGGCGTCGGGCAGTCGGTGGGCCGTTCGGGACGGGGCCGAACGGCCCGGGTTGTCCAGGGTGACGCCCCGTGCCTCACGAGCCTCGTGCTATGACTAGCTGAGCGACAGCTCGTAGAATTGGACGGTGTTGCCGCGTCGGCCTTAGCTACATTCGCACTTCATCGACCCGTACGGTGGTTGGCGGTTGAATGTTCTTGACTGGACGAGGTGCAAAGTGCCGGCCTTTCATTACGTTTTAATGGAGAAAGTCAGGGAGCGTGCTGTGCATTAGGTTCGTGCAAGGAATGTCATTTGAATACAGGGCCATGTGGTGTGCCATTTTATTGTACCTTTTCGCAATGCTCACTGGTATATAAAAGAGTCGCTAATGCGAAACAGACGAAAAGTGTTTCAATGTAATTTGATGCACTCCATATAATGAAATAGCTCGTGCATTGACAGTCAACATTTTACTCTTCGTGACATAATAACTGTTCTTCTACCTGTCAAATTTGCCTTCTCTTGTAACTGGCATTGTTGAGTATTTAGTTGTCTGTCGATTCGGTGTCGTTGCGTCATATACCATAGTGACGCATCATTCGTCACTGGTAATGCGTCAAAATGTACAAATGTAAGACAGAAATTCCGCTTCTAACCACCAAGTGCCGCGATATCCTGCAAATTTTACCGTCTTTTGCACGCGTCGCTTCGGCACACCCCACTGCAAGGCCCACCGAGGGGTTTGTTTTCTAAACGCAGTTCTGTTAGGCAAGTTAAACATTGTCCGGCCCATCAGACACTGTCACACCGGTCAGACACTGCCCTACCGAGCAGACCCTGTCCGGCGGCCAGACCGTGTCCGCACTGCCTCCCTGGACCCGGTGTGGCAATGCGTGTGTGTCCCACCTGTGTTCCATCGGCCCGCTCAGCGGGGGTGGCGCTGGTAATGGCGGCTCCATTACCACACGCGGCTGGCTCGTGCGGCCGAGCAATTTGTTAGCGTCGGGCGCCGGTCAGGACGTCTACCTTCCTTCGCAGTGGAGGAGGCTGCTTTCCTCGAGCGGCGCGTAGGAAGGTGTGTGTGTGGGGGGGGGGGGGGGAGCGGTGGGGTCAGAAGAGGATAGGAGATACTAAACTTGTAGCTTGATGTGAAGGGATGGCGATGGGAGGTTTGTGATGTGGCAACGTTGAGAGTGTGTTGATGAGATAAACGACACTGTTAGGCACCTGCAATTTATAAAAGCGTTTGTCAGTTGTCAATATGAAACTGGCTTAATTTTTGGTTAAGGGGACGTCTTGGTGGGTAAAGCTTATTTGAGTAAAGGAGAAGTGCGCGTCTTGCTATATGTATTTTCATTTTAAACGTAGTATAACAAGCACATGCAAGGTATGACGGGAATAACATGTTACTTGACTACCCAAATCAGTCATATCTATCGTAAAAGGTAGACATCAATCAACAATTCAGTGATCACTGTTTGTGTTACATGTCCACGTTTATAAACGTTATTCGTATACTATGAAAACAGTAGCTGAAACCCATTAGCATCACATAACAATACGTATACGACACTGCCTTCCACGAATAGAGTTTATATACATTATACATGCATATCAACAGCTTAGAACAAGAAAACAGTGATCGAGCGCGGCCATTCGAGATTACAGGAACACTTACGCCACGTCGCTCAGTCACAGAATAGCCCAAACGCTCATACGCGCACTCGGCAACATAACATTCAGAATTACTCACAATATTTAGGCCTTACAAGCGTGTGTTCTGTATGCATTCGCTCGTCCAGACATCAGCCAAGGACAAGAACATAAGTTCCACTGACGTTCTTATCAGCCCATACCAATGCCAATAGTCACAACTCACATCAGTGCGCCGAACTGTTCAGTACTGTACTGACCGCCCCCTCCCCATTTCACAGAGGGATGGCGACTGGTCCGAGTCCCATGGCACCCTCAGGGGCTATCAGCTGCGACTCTATCCTTCGGTGGAGTCCAGGGAGAACGAAGATGAACCGATCTTCACCGCGCCCGTAGACAAGGTAAGAAACAAACAGAAGGGGAACGTTCGGCCACGACTGATAGGTTCGCTCGTCTTTATCGACGTGGTAGTACACTAGTACAGTAATACTCAATCGGCCAATGCTGCAACAGTCTGACTAGGTAACGCTGGAAGTTAGAAAGGGTAACAGCATCTTCGTAGAAACATGGCATCTCAGGAAGGCGGATGTCTGGTTTCGGTCTTATTACATTACCGCGATTCACATAGCCATCCCTGGCATATAATAGCCCGCCTCTGGAGGCCTGCCGTCAGAATATGCGGAGGTTATTAACTCTTCTCGGAGAAACGACGATTCTATCTATCCACCAGACCGCTACAGACCTCGATATGGGGTGCTCTGCAGGCCTCCTCGAGCCAGTTTTGGCATGTTCCTGACGGGGATTGTCGGTGCTGTTCGTCTGGATCTTGTCGGATGATATCGTGCTGAGTTGGTGCGCATAGTTGGGCCATGGAGGTGGCCAGGCGCTGGATTAGCGAGGCGGGGGCTCTGGTATCCGTGGCCGATTCGGCTCGATAGGAGAACCAGGAGTTGGAGTGGTTATTGCGGAGCCCTGCAGTGAGCTCCGTCAGCAGATCTCCCGAGTTCCATCTGACAGAATGACGGTAGTAGGGTCTCTAGCTTCATACTGTGCGCAGTCGTGATTGGGGTTGTTGATATAGATTGGGAAAGTATTCCTGCACTCATCTGTTACATTGTCCTGTTGGGTATCTCCAGGAGTTAAACCCGGAGTTAGTGAGTTTGGACAGCACTCATTCACAGCTATCACCAATACATTGTCCATCGTTCATTTAGACGGCACCGGACACCTTATCTCTGTCACCGCTAGTGACATCCCTGGAAGCCTTATATCGCCACTTATACTCCGTCATGACACCTATCTGCGCCCACTGACACCTCAGAGGTAGAGCCTGTGCCACTGTGTCACCACATCACTGGTGCTGAGCGCGCGGCCCCACTGGGTGGGCTGACCTCCGGCGCTGCTGAAGAACGGGCCGAGGATCACCCGGCCAATGACCAAATCGGTACGCACCGGGCCGCGCATCACCACACTCAGCACCAGACTGGCGTCGTCGACGAACCCTTGCGGCAGCACGAACCCGAAACTGGCGTTGTAGAATGGCTCCTTGGAGCCAGCCAGCACTGGTGATCGCTTGGTCTTCACCTTTTCTCCGGCGCAGCGGAGCGATGCCTTGACAAAGGTGTCATATTTGGCATGCTTCTCGAAGGTTTTCTGCGGAAGACGGTGGACGGATGGTGAGACGCGTAGCTCGCGCGCCTGCATCACCACCACGGAGAGGCGATCGTCGGCGGCTCGGTAGGAGAGCGAGACCAGCAGACGACCCAGGGTGTCATCCGGCTCGGCACGGCGCGTCAGAGGAAGAGCGAAACGCTCAGGCGTCTCTCCGACTGTTCCGTCTAGTGATAGAAGCGCGTGGCCGACTGCCTCGTACGGACCCAGACGAGAAGCCTCTCGCACAGTCACCCGCAGTGTCTTGGAGCGGAGGTCTTTGGCACGCAGCGGCAGTGCATAGTCGAGGTTGTAGGTCGGGTTGAGGTCGCCGCTGACGACGGGAGCCTTCTTGACGGGTTTGCAGTCGGGGAGCAGGGTGATCTCAGTGAGGACGTCGTAGGCGAGGTGGCCGCGCGGCGGCAGGCTGTGCACCGACTCCAGTTGCACCAGCAGCCGTTTCAGGTGCGGGTTGAAGCTGGCGGCGATTGTGACGCTGCCGTAGATCTCGTTGGCCTGTTTGGCGTCCTCCACCCCAGCACCGGGCGGAGGAGCGGCGTCTCGGGTCAGCGAGCCCGCGCTCTCGTAGTGCGATCGATCGAACCCGTGCTGACTGGCCCGCGCGAATCCTCTCCTTTCGCTGTTCTGCGACTTCAGGTCACGCAGCGTGAACTTCGAGATATCCGCGATGGTCTGTGCGTGTCGCATGACATCGGGCCGAAGGTTGTTGGCCTTGATACCCTTGCTCTCCTTTTTCTTCACCTCTGGCACGGCAGTGACTGTGATGTCCGGCACGGAGCCGAAGTCCTGAGCGCCGTTCTGAGACGCACTGTCCAGGTCCGGTCGGTAGAGTCGCTCGCGGGGCGGCTGCACTCGGTCCAGGTGCGCCTCGGACACGCTGAGTCCCGGCGCGACTCCGAGTCCCGGAGTCAGCCGCGTCAGGTCCGGCTCGGAGTCGCCACTGACTCCGTCCGCGCCGCTGCAGCTGTCCAGCAGCGCCTCGTCCGAGACGTACCTGAAAACGGGCGGCGGGGGTCAGAACGGGCCTCGGTGTGTTGGCGTGAGACGTTTGGAGTGTGAAAATGCGAGTTCCTTCTTATGTGTGAATGACAATGGGAGATTCGCATTTAAGGTATGGCGGATAGTCAAGAGTCTTGATTGGTCAGTAGAATTTGTCATAATTTGTCAGTACCTAAAATGTAACGTATTTTGAGTTGCGGGTGGATGGAGACACATGCTAGAGCCAGTTAGCCACTGTGTTGGATTAGTTAGGAAGCACCCTGTTTCGAAATACAGTTGCCTATCAAGCTGCCTGTGTGGTTGGCGATAACGCCACGTTCCCTCTTGCGCACCCAACACCCGCATCTCAACGCTGGAGTACCCAAGCACGTCCCTCCCAACATGGATAAGCTAAGCTCCCTAGCTGATGTGACCAGGGATATCAGTTCTATTGGTTTAGCTATCGACACGAACGAGTGCAGCATACTGGCAGCCGATGGCACGCTATTGGTCTTCACTGGCAATTTAGCGCCAATCTGGAGGTTCCGGTGACCTAATTCGTGTCGGCGCCGATGGCTCGGGAATGCATTTTAAAATGCCGCCACTGAAAATACCCTTTCAGACGCGGGCATCTGATTTCATTCAGCAGCTGGCTGTCAATTTCCGCCGGGACGATGTTTGCGTGGGCTTACCATGCATAGTGCATAAAAGATATTTGATCTGAAGAGCCGGGGTACGTACCGCTCTTGAGGTTTATATGCTCTTAACGAGACGGAAGTGAGATATCGATGCTAGAGCATCTTGAGATAGGATCATTCAGTGGACCAGGCGTGGGCGGTGCCGCGTTCTACTCATTGCATTTATGAGGAACGTTAGGTAAACCATGACTGATGGGCATATTTTGTAGGTAATCTTGTTTAAATCTGAATCAACAGTTGTCTTCCGTTTGGAAAATTTATATGAAGGTACTGGCATCATTTGCGATAACATGAATCGTTTTTCATGAAAATGAAACGTTTTCATTAATGGCTCAGTGTTTTTCTTTTTACGTGTTCGGCTGCGGTGCCGGCCATGGTCCGTCCCGCGCGGGTGCCGCCCCCGGCTGTCGGCAGCTCCGCGGTGTCCGGGGTGCCGCCCCCCCCCCCCCCCCCCGGCTGTCGGCAGTGTTCCGTCCGCATTACACGCTGGTGCCCCCCCCCCCCCCTCCCCCCGTCCGCGGGGTGCCGCCCCCTGGCTGTCGGCAGTGCACAGCTCGCGGCTCGGCTGTATCGATCGAGACCAGATTGACACATTGCTGCCAGGTGTTGGCAGCACAGTGTGGTGGTCACGACCCACAGGTGGCTGTGGGCGGCAGCGGCACGAGGAGTCTCCTCGGAACCCTAACCCCTGCGCTAGTCAGTCCGTCCTCTATAGTGGTGCGTGATGATTGTCTTTTTGAAGTGCGACTGGATGCCGGTTATGAGGGAAAGGAGCTTTGGGATGCGTGGGAAGACTTGGGAATTATGCTCGTTGTAGGAATTATTATTGCCTTTTCTTGAAGCAACTTTAAATTATGGAGATTTTTTTCATGTTTTTTCACATCATGTTCCTCGACCACGTCCTTTTCCCACGATATCCTTTCTTGACTTAAAAAAAAACGGCCATCCCCTTTCCCGCGTCCATTATCGCCAAAGAGAGCACCTGTCGGCTGTCACCCGTGTTGCCTCGGTGTCACCTTCATCAGAAGAGTCGTGGGTGTTTGGTCTTTCCAGCGGGTAAATGAAGGGTGGGAACGCACCGCTGCTTGATTGGCCCAGGCTGGTCGATGCGCCCGGGTGGCTGGGACCCGGGTGGCAGGTGGCGGCGTACATAGCCGCTAATTGGAACAGGAAAGGAGAGGAGAAGAGGTGTGCGAAGAGAGGAAGATGGAGATGCGATGGATGAGACAGCGGGGGATGGTATTATGCCGACACGCTGACGGCCAGAGAAGGACTAAGATGGAGAGGACGGGAGATGGGATTGGAGAGCGACACAGGCGGACGGGGGACGCGTCACACCGAGGACGGAAAAAGCTGTGATACCTATCCTGATTCAGAGATTGACCCGACCCGATATAAGGTTCACATCGTTCACTGCTGCGTCATGTGACATCTACCTAAGCGTGTGGAAAAGCCGGTGTTGGCGTCTGAGTCTTTTATGACTTTATGATGTGGTTGGTGGGCAAAAACAAACGAACCTTGCACCGGTGATAGACAGTAATTGAAACTGCGGCTGGCGGTAGATCACCTTTAAGCAGATTGCGCTGCTGAATGTTTGTGGGCCGCCCTTGTTGCGCAAGCATATTGCTCAAACAAAGCGTCTCTGGTGGTATCCTTACCATGCTGAACTGTCAGGCTGCCCCAGCGTTGTAGTGTCGGCTTGAAGTTAGGATCTCAGGAGCGTGATAAGCTGATCGGATTTACGTTGCCCGATTAAATACTTCTAAAATAGTTTTTCTATATATTACCAGCACTGTTTCGATGGTAGGCATTCGCCATACAAAGTATTACTTTTGAAGTGCAAAACCTTTCTGATTAAAAGCAAAAGCATGGAGGATTTCCGTTTGTTTCTTTATTTTGCTTGGAGAATGTACAATTGCGTATAACGCCATGCATTTGTCCTGATTTTATTTCGCTTACCGGAGCACTGCCGCTGTTTAAGTCGAATTTATTTATAGCACAAAACTTGTTTTGGAATTGTATAAGCACCTATGCAATATGCATCGGTTTAAGTTTAAATTATCAAAATAACCAAAGGTTTGTGCTCAATAGTTAAAAACACTTATCGTTAGAATTATGTTTTTCTATTGAAAAACAAGCCTGAGTTCCCGGATATGCAACGTTTTTCAGTCAGTTTTTTACCAGGGCTAGGTAGATAAACTCCTGTTATTGTTTTCGAGGTGCAAATTTTAAACGTTACCCAGTCTCTGAAATTTGGCCATTTGTGTGAATCTCTCGCCCGCTGCGTCCCTGGTGGAATGCAGCTCGATAGGACAGGATCAGTGCCAACACTGTCCTTATCGGCCCAGCTCAAAGGTAAAGGTGGCGGTCGTATGGAGGGCGGCAGATAGCGTCCTGACGGCAGTGTGGGATCAGGGCCGCCTCCATGTCCGTAAATAAACTGAACGGAACGGGTCCCTGGCCTTGGACAGCAATGGGTGGAAGTTTGTTTTGCAATACCTTGCTCCAGCTTGTTTTCCTCATATTTTGTTAAAAATTTGTTTTTAGATGAAAAATTGCTGACCGTTTATAGTCACGATATTTGATCGTGGATTTTAACGGCTAATTCTATCGATACCACTGACTTTATTGATAATTTCAGTCATTACATCGATACTAAAGTTTGAAAATAATGTAAATGAGTTATGTGCTATGTTGAATTATAGGGCTTAAAATGCTCTAAAATCTTTCCCTGATTTCGAAAAGTAGAAATGCACTAGAAAGACTGAAATGTGCCTATTGTGTGCGCCTAAGAAATTATACGGCTCGAGTTGTTGTGTGCTCTAGAATGCCGCGCTCGATCTATCTAACTCTTGTAATATTCATTAGAGGACTTCAGTCTGTGGTATCTACATGGGTTGCAGCGAAAGTCTGCTTGATGATAATGTGATTGTTTGCTAATAATAAATGATCATTGATTGTACAGTGATACCGAAAAAGTAACGCGGAAGAATGCCAGGTGACATTTTATAACCCTTTTTCAAACTTTTTACCACATCACAGTCACTCTCGAGACGGATGGTGGTATGAGTAGCGAACTTGAGTTGTAACGCAATGTCCATAAATCACGACCTTTTCCGCCCATAAAGTAATTGCACGGGTGACCCCCTCACCATCCCCCCCCCCAACGCACACCTGCCACAGCAATCGCATGTTCTTCTCACCTGTTTTGGCATTTGACCCTGAGGCGCGTTGTCTCATTTTTCTCGTCCGGATCGACAGGCCGACACCACTCGCTGAGTTTCTGACACAGTTGCGAGCAGAACGCCATGACGCCGACGACTTAACGGATAGGGCCGCCTGTTGACAACTTTGAACGGCAGTTCGACGAGCTTTCGGCGAATTAATCGTCCGTCATTCTAATAACATGTTGTTATGAAAACTAATCTCATGATATCTGAGAATGAACTTGATTCAACTATTTTTTTGGCGTTTAGAGATGTTGTGAGATGAGACCTGAAATTGTTCTTGCACCGTCTTTAGAAATTATCTCGGGTACTATCTACATCGCTTGCACGTCCTCAAGCACCAAACACTTGATCACCGGTCACTTTCACGATTCGCACTCATCACCGAAGGTGTCTCAAATCACGGTTTGGCCCAAGCTCAGCGTCACCGCGTGTTGCACGCAGCCACGGTTTGCTGGCGCTCTCTGCCGCCGCCACCGCCGCCGCCGCCGCCGCTACTGATATACTGTTCTGCCGCGCGCCGCCGCCGCCGCCGCCGCCGCCACCGCCGCGGGGCCGGGCGACCCATCGGCGCTCGTGCCTTATCGATCGGTTTGCACATGTGGTCACGGCAGTGGGAGGCAGTGCTGAGGGTGACATCACCGTGCCCCAGGTGATCTCGGCTGACAAGGTCGGGACCTGGTGCCCGAAGCTTTTTTTTCTCTCGCACAGGTGTGAAATGTCGGTTTATGCTGAGCTTTGCTGAAAAGGGGGTGTAGGGGACGAGTGACGGATGCGATGATTCCGCCACAGGTGTGAGACGGTGGTTCAGGGTAGCGTGGCTTCAGGCTTGTATTGACACGTGCACCTGCCGTGGTTGTAGATGAAATTTTATTTTTTCTCGGTCGTATTGATCCGTAATATTGCATTCTTCACTTTATCTGCTCTCATTGGTGTCGATTAGCTGTTGATCCTCTTTTATGTTGCGCTTTTCTCGTCTCGACCAGTGAACCTGCTACCTAACCCCCTCTTTGCATCGCATCCACCGATCCACCCACAATAATCGTGCTGCTGATCTTTTTCAAACTGCTTCACCTCCACTCTCCCAATCCACATCCACCTTTTCCACCCACCTTGCCACCGTTCCACGTTCCACGGGTTCGCGTAAATGCGCACCGTGTCTCCCCACCGGTATTGTGATGCCTGCCTATGTGGGCGGGGTGGGGGTGGCGTGGCGATTTCGTCTGATGAGCTGAGCGGGATGGTGCCGCTCTCAACGGAGGCTCAATTTGACCGGCCGCGCGCCGCCGGCCGGCCACCAAATTGATCGCATACCTTCATTGCTTGGGTGACCTCCATGCAGCGCTGCCCTTTGACGAAACAGCTGAGCTATTCTGAACGTCATTGCAGATAGGATCTGGATCACCGAAGTATTTTACGGATAAAACATTTATTTTTTTATTTAAAGGAAACCTTTGTAAGATAGAATAACGTAGAACGGTGTTATGTTGACGAAATGTTTCCTCCGAATCTTAACTCGTGCTCATCATCATAATGAAAGGCTGCAGTTTCTGTGAAATTAAGATGCAACTCATCAAGCTTTCATTTAATCCTAGGTGGTAAGATTCCACTGCACCGTGGCTTGGTAACGGTGTCTATTCTCTCCGTACTCTGGTGACCTTTCTGTAGCCGGGCGTTGCAGCTCATTCGTCACTGCGCAGTCACATCAGCGATATGAGAGTGGCGGGCAAATATATCACGATACCACTGATGTGGGATCACCACACCGCTCCGTCCGACATCAATCAACCATTGACGTCCGCCGTTCCTCGCTCGCAGTTATCTCATCATGGGTGGGATCACAGAAGCCATGCTCATTACTCCACGGTCAGAGCCGCTGGCTGAGTTTCCTCATTTAGGGATTTGAGCGTAAAATGATCTTAGTGTCTTATCCGCCAGATCGGGTACAGTTACCAGTGATTCTGATCATCCACAGCACGACTGTCGCTATAACTGGCTAATATACAATCTGCAGTGCGATGATCCATTCATTTTGTGACGATTTCGATGAGTGGTATGACCTGTGTGATACTCTTCATCCATTCATGCCTAGGTCCGCACCTATCTTCACTGTCTTTATCCTTACCAAGCCCTAAAGCGCTAATAAACAAACAAACAATCTTTACTGTTTAATTATCATCTCCGGGGATTTCAGGTCAGCATATGTGTGTACTGTTCCCGGTGCCCCTAGCCCGTGAATCTGACTAATCCCCGTCTCAATCACGCTGAGGTTACCCTCCGACCGCAGTAGCCATTATCGAGACAGCTAGACAGCCCCCGGTCTGATCTAGATTTGTGGTGGGCTGGTCGTAATGTCACGACTTCGGGGGACTGCTCGGTGATTATGGGATTGCACCGTGGCCTTAGGACGCCTCCAGACTGTCGGCGGAATGTATGACGCGTCAGACCATTCGTCGATCAGTGGAGGTAGAGGAGCATCAGTGGTATTGGTGGCGATCGAAGGAAGGTATGTCACGTTTGAAAGCGTTCAGTTAACCCGCGCGGGGCTGGGGTCTCCAGCCGAACGCGCGGGGCTGGGGGGGGGGTAAATTTTACCCCCCCCTGTTATCTCCCGAACTAATGGTCCGATTTGGAAAATTCAAACGCCAATCGAAAGCTCTCATCACGAACTACTAAAAACATGTACTTAATTTAAAGTTTGAGGTCAAGGTCAAGGTCAGGTCAAGGGTACAAATTGCAAGTTTCTATAGTATCGGCCTTGCACCGTAGTTGCCGAAGAATGGAGTCATGGACTGAGACTGATCGCCCAAAACGTGTTCTTAGGCTACCAAGACAATATTCGTTGCATACAATATCATTCAGAGGTCAAGGTCAAGGTCAGGTCAGGTCAGGTCACCAAAAAACAAAATATAGAAAAGGGCATGTGCGACACATGTTTTATGGGTCATTTTACTCATAGAATTCAATAGGCACACTCAATAAGTGATATGGACCACCTCTGGATGAAGTTCAGGTCGAGGTCAGGTCAAGGTCAGGTCAAGTGAGGTCAAATTTTGAAGTTGGTTGTTAAGGCCTAAAAAGGTGTCTATCTGATGCAGTTTTTCACGGCGAATCGAATGGTGCTATTTTTGTTTTCGTACGAGGTCTAGAACTTCCAAAAAAGTCATTTTTCAAAAAAATTGTGTGTCGTGACGTCATAAAATTTTGAAGAACTCCCACATTTTTGAACCGATTCTTCTAAAATTTGGTATGTAGGTGCACATAGACCACTTCTCTGACATATATTCCGGTTTTTTCGATAGACTCAAAATTTTGGATTTTATAATGATTTTCCCAAAAAAGTCAGTTTTTTGAAAAAATTTAGGCCAAAATCCAAAATTTTCAAAAAACCGAGATAGCCATTTGATAGACAAAGGAAAATTACGTATAACCTTTTTTGTTACGTCTTGATTCCTTTAAAAATGAAGATGTTAGCGGCGTTTGAACTTTTGCCGTTTTTGAGGCGAAAATGGCGAACATGACGTCACTAAAACGTCAATTTCTCAAAAATTTTCCGACGGATTTCGCTCAAATTTTCAGGGAACGTGTCAAATTGATGTAAGAAAAGGTACAGAAAGTTTGGCGGCGCTGCGCGCCGCCGTTTTTGAGATATCGCAAAAATTCGCGAGGGGGGGTAAAATTTACCCCCCCCCAGCCCCGCGCGGGTTAAGTCCAAAGCCACTGAATTGCTCTTTGAATACCATATCTGTTGTTACTCCAAACTGCGTCCCCATTATCCTCAATTGAGGGGGCGCTAAGGATTGGAACACATTGTCGTTTGTTCTTGTCAAATGTTGCTCAGTTTTGCATAGCATCTGTTGAGCTTACATTGCATGGAAACTAATGTGCTCTTGTTTCTTGCCGAAGAGATTATTATGAATGTCTTTGCCTTGGCTTTGCCAGACGATATTTTCTCCGCCGCTGCACGTGCCCGGTGTCCCCACTGACCCCGTAGTCAGCGAACTATTCACCTCACACCACCCGTTGTTGCCATGTCCACGGATTGCCACACTCCCGAGTGTGAATCGCGGCCATTGTTTCACACGTCCAACACTTTGATGGACGCTCTCCGCACTGCACACGGCACTAACAAATGATCCTGTAGCCGACGTGGGCAACGGTCAACCCATCACTGGGGGCGTTCCAGCCGCCCCTCACGGATCGTGAACGATGGTGGTGAAACACGCGCGATCGTGACTGAATCTGCCGCGAAACGTGACTGGGTACGACTGGGACGGTGAGTGATTGACTGAATCATGTAGCCGTGCCATTTTATGGTGCTGAGTGATTTGGACTGTCCATAATCGCTGACAATTGTCATTTAATTATGACTGTATCGGACGCAAGGAACTGGTGATGGTTGCTGTGACTATCGGGGTCCGTCCAGCGGAGGTCACCTCACCCTTCCGTCTGCTCCACCAGCGAGGCAACCCATCCCATGGACCCACCGACTGGCACCTCACCCGTCCGTCCGACCCACCGGCGGGACCTCACCCATCCTCTGTCCCAGCGGCGGAACATCGCCCATCATCTGTCCCAGTTGCGGGACCTCACCCTTCCGTCCGTCCCACCGGCCGACAGCGTCCCGTCCGCCGACCCACCGACGGGCCCGCCAGCGGTCCCACCGACGTCCGACGACCGGCGCGCTAAGTGGTGCCGGTGCTCGGCTGGCTCGGTTAGTGGCGCCGATCACGACATGGCCCGCCCTCCAACCCCAGGTGGAGGGTGCTGCGGGCTGAATGTTCGGCAGTGATTGATGACGGCACAGTTTAGCGCGGTATTTAACGCAGCGCTGCCTGAGCTTGGAGGAAATGTCACTTGCTAAAGTTAGTCCGTAAAGTCACGTCATTTTCTCCGTTAAATGCCATGGTTAATGGCCATGGTGTCCCTTGGTATAAGCGAAGCGTATTTCCAGGCGCTTTGGTGGATTGAGTACCTGCGAATTATGATATACCCAGACATGATGCTTTTCATTTCCCGCCTGGGTGCTTGACTTGAATAGCCTGCCTCCGAGGTGGCGCGCTGAACAAAGTATGACGATAATCCTGTTAGTTATGTCACTGTTGGCGTTAGCTGCCTTGGCAACACATGCTGCACAAAAGGCGTGGCGCTCTCTATCCTAATTCACGTTGCCTGGCAAACTGCGACAACATTACCAGTCCCCGCTTCGACATTTTAACTCTGCCAGTCTGTGACATTTGATGGAAAGAAAAACTTCGGTGAAACTAGCGCAAAGTCCTCAACTGCGCCGTATGATACATTTCTGATCGGAAGCTAGACAGGAAAGCATGTATCAGCTGGCGGTCGGGCGTTCGTTCAAACGGCGCCGGTCGGGGAAGTTGACCGAAAGTTGTGACTCGGGACCGTGCTGCCGGTTGCGGCGGTGACCGATCGTTGGAAAGGGACCTGACTCACGCGAGAGGGCTGACTTTGGTCGCCGATTTGAGGAGAACGTCTCGCGGTGTTTTGTATTATCAAGTGTTATCATTTTAATGACGGAGATGCGCGCATTTTGGGCTGGCTCGTGCTGCAGTATTTGTAAATGCTCTTCGAGTTCTTAAATATGCAGTGCGATGAGGTGCGCTCGTTCGACCTCAATCTTTGGTCGTCAAAAATGCAAAAAGTACGACGCCGCCATTAGTCAGCCATGCCAGCAACTCGGTCCAGATCGGTACGTTTCTCATATCATAGCAGATTTTCACGGACCATGTCTGTCACTCTTCTCTATTCCTCCCTCTATGTATTTACATTCCACTTCTACCTTCCAATCCGAGATCTCTTCATCCTCCTTTAGCTCTCCTTTCCAACCAGAGATCGGTTTAGCCCCCCCCGGCCCCGTCGGACGGGTGACCTGTCAGCCCCACAGGTCCTCGCCAGCCAACAGCGGGCCGACCGGCGCGATGTAAAAACCGGCGCCCGCCCTGCCGCGGCAGATGTTTACTCGTGCTATTGATCGGATGAGGCTACCGTTCGGTGATAGAGGCGGCACGGCCCGGATCTGCCCCCTGACGGGCCCCTGGAACCCACATTTCGGCTTCCAAAACGAGCACGGTTTTGTGTGTCACTTGTGTTCTTGCAGTGGTGTGAGGCAAGTTTGCTGCTACCATGCACTACACACATCTCAAGAGGCTCTGTTAAACGATAGGTCGTCCACATAGTAAGGGCCTCTCGAATGTCGCTATCCAGAGCAGCATTGCTGCTACTTTTGCTCGGTGATCCTGAGCACCATTGATGGTACCATACCAGCTAATATACCTACAGTTTCTTTCATAAAAAGGGTGAGGTTGGCGGAGAGTCGATCCGCTGATTATCCGACTTTCTGGCCCAGATGTTTGTGCCTCGTCACCTGTCTTCAGACCCCTTGGTACCCCTCTTTGCTTCACTAGCGGTCCTTGCTGACCCCTGACTACATCTCCATGCCGCATAGCCAGTCAAGTACCCATGAGTGTACCCCTCTGTGCCACCCGGCTCTCAGCTAACCCGCGGTTAACCCTCCGTCTCGCCGGTGATCCCAGCTGACCCCCTCTCTTTCTGCCACAGGACACTGAGATCGTGACCAGCCCGGAGCGACCGCTGGAGATCACCGTGCGGCCCGACCGGGGCGACCGTCCCGAGCTGCTGCTGCGGCTGCCCACAGAGAGGGACGCCGATGTCTGGCTGAAGGCCATGGAGGCCTCCGTCACCGGCAGCCGACTGTGAGTGAATGGGTGATCGGGGCGCTGGGTGGCGATCGAGGCGTCACCTGTAGAGGGCGGCAATGGGGGGGGGGCTATTTGTAGAGGAGCTGCTTGAGCCCGGCGGTAGTGAGCTTAGGCGTGCTTTGATGAGCTTAGCTGTAAGCTAATGCTAAACTTAACAGCTTCATAACTATATAGATAAATATTTCACGCTTTAGATGAAACTTGCTCCGTACTTTATAAGACAGTTTCCCCAGTTTATGCAGAAAACGTTGATAGGCAAATCACGAACGCAGCTTGTAGGCTCAGGCAGCACTTGTGCGTCTTTCGTTTCTTTCATCTATCGCTGAGTTTCAGCCGATGTATCGAAAGTCTGCCAGACTTTTTCTTTCTTTCTTCTCAATGCATCCTTCTCTCCCTCTCTTTCCCCGCTCTCGCTGCTCTCTGTGACACGTCTGACCCCTCTCCCTCCGACCCCTGCAGATGGCGGCGGGCCGGTGAACAGTCCATGACCATGCTCACACCGTCCGCGCGACTCTCGTCAATGAACACCCGGCCCCGTCTGCGATCACTCTACGAGCACATCTCGCTGAAGGACGACTGCTCCTCGCCTGAGCTGCCGCCGCCACCGCCGCCTCGGCAGCGCGCTCAGAGCACCTCAGGCATCGGCTCGTTCATTCGCTGGGGCTCTCTCCGCAGCAGGAGGAAGCTGAACTCGTGAGCGAGCTCGCTAGATGGCAGGAGTGTCGCCGCTCGTCGCTGCGGTGAGAGAATGTGTTCGTTAGGCAGACTCGAGGTCTGTTCAATGTTCATATGCGGGGCTCCTGAGGTTCCTCGTGGCCGGTGGAGCTCTATTTGGGATGAGATGTGCGATTTGCTGGGATATTTAGCAGTCATGTGTTGGCGACAATCATGAAAGTGATGTTCTTTGTAGTGATTTTGAAATTATATTTACCGAAGCTCTATTTCTATGCATCGTTAAAGATGCCCTTCTGTGAATTCTGTCCTTTTTCGATTATGAAACTTTCAGCCAATTTACGAGCTGTTACTTTTTATGAACACCGAGGGATCATGTGTGAAAGTGTCTGTTTTAGTGATCGCGCGTTTTAGAAAGTCCTATTGAACCACGACACCGTTGTTACTTGATCAATTCTAACAACCTCAGTTCGGCATTTGAGACGGCGGCGCTGGGCACAGACTCGTGTGGCGCAGTTCCCGTCCAATGTCCCTTGGCGGGTCCTGTCTGTATATAGGCGCATTGTGCGGCGCTCTGTCCGGGACATGTGTTGTATGCGTCAATTGTGCCGCGTGTGGCGAGCGGGGCGGTCAGGATAGTGCCTGGTCGCCGGCGGCCAGTCTATCTCCGCACAGCGCGTGTCTAGTAAGCAATAAAGGTTGTTTCTATACGACACATGTTTGGAGGCATATAACTGTCGATGGGGTGGGTAAGACGACGTGCAAGTTTCTTGTGACTCTGTGCGTACTCAACATGTTGAAGGCTGTCCTCTGACGGGCAGCGATGCTCAGAACTACTGCATCCTTCGTCATCTGGTTAGTGCCCAAAAATCCAGTGATATCATTTGACGCCAATCAGGCGAGTCGTTTACCCTCCTCCGCCCCATCACCCCATCACCCCCGTTTTTATCTGCCCTGGTGCCACACACAGGCCACTACTGTCACGCTGAGGCGCCCGATTAAACCCTCTAATTACTGGTCCGGTGGACGGCGGTGCCACTTCGTCCTCAAACAGCGAGAAAAACACTCGAGCTGCCCCGTGCCGCGGCTGGGAGAGCTCTCTCGGTCGGCGGCTGGCGCCCACACGGATAACTCGAGCTATCAAAACCGGCTGAGCTCCGGCGCTACCCACACTCGAGCTGGTGAAAAAACATGTTCGGCGTTTCGTTTGGAGCTGTCGGGACTGATGTTGGATCGGTTGAACCTACCGCTGCTGAAATGAACTGAATGGAAAGGAGTGAATATTCGCACGGAGCTACCGCTGTTGAAATCAACTGAATGGCGAGGGATGGATATTCTGACGTGTAGATATTTGATGAAGTAGGTGCTGAAACCACCCTTATGTATGTTTTCATTAGGGATGTTATATCCTGCTGGTATCTTCTACCTTCAACCTGTTTGGATAATTTATCAATCCATGACTGATGGATGATGATGTGCCATCCCAAGCATATTCGTCCGCCCAATATGCCTCATGCTAGGCAGAACGTTGATATTGTATCCATTAAACCACTGCACCGGGAGCAATTGATCGCAAAATGAATCGACGCATCGGTTTCTATCACCCCTAATCCTGCCTCCAAGGCTCGAGCTCCCGCTCCCGTCACTAAGTGATTCTACACTCTACAGGTATTCTTCTCTCCACTACAGTATGTACTTCGCCTTTATCATGTCGCTCGTGGTCACTGTTCCGGATCCCTCCCTCCGTCTGCCAACACCTCGCAGACACCCCTTCTCCGCCCCGCCGCCGCCGTCGTCCGTATACCTCTAGGCTCTACGCCGGCCGAGTTGGCTGATTGAATTGCATACGCCCGTGGTGGGCGGCCGCTGGGCGTAATTGGATACCGGAGGGGACACCGAAGGCTCGGATCGGATGTGCCGTGGACTGGTCGGCCGGTTACGACTGGTAGGCGGTAGGTGTGGACGTGGGCATGGGTAATGGGTATTGTATATGAGCGGCCGGTGGTAGAAATGTTATTTTAATGAAAATAGGGATGATTGGGTTGATTGGGTTGGTTATTAAAAGCTACGCAGAGTACCTAAAGCTGTAGATCTCTTCAGTCTCAGTATATTGTTTTACACGCTAAATGTAAATGCGATGCCATGATCACTGATCTGAATCGCAATAAGGAAATGCCCTCATTAGCTTCATGCGATTGTAAAAGGATAGTGGCCGCTGGACCACCGAAATAGCCATGGATTTTCCTGAATCCATGCCACACCGACTCCATTGGCCGGCTGCCTCTAATGGACAGCGCCTGTTGTCGAGCCGGCTAACCGATGGCGCTACGGCACTGACCTTTGTCTGAGGGTCAATCTGTGCCGCGGACGAGGTCAAGGTCGCCTCTCGGCCGCCGGCTGCGGTGGTGGGGCTGTCCCGTTCATAATAAGCGATGACAGAAGGTAGTGAGAACATCTGGGGCTTCCCACGACTCGCGGGTCGGTATGGCAGGAATGATTGCCTGACGGGTGAGCGTCCATCGCAAAATGCGAGGCCGGGAAGGCAAGGAAGGCTGTGGGACGGGTGGGTCCGACGTCTGAATGTCTCCTCCCCCCCCCCCCACACACACACACGACTCGTGGGTCGGTATGGAGGGGCTGTAGTGTAGAATGTAGGCCGTCAGACGATCCTTCCTTCCCATAACCCGCTGAGGGCTGAGATGGCAAAGAAGGCTGTCATCCCCCCCACCCGTGGGCTGGGATGTCAGGAAAGCCTGTAGGCTGCCTAATGCCTACCCTCCTTTTCTCTCACAACCCGACGGAACGGGGTGGCAGGAAAGCCTGTCGGGCGGGCGCTCCTCCCTTTGCTACTCCTCGCCCTGTCATGACATGATCCATGGGCCGGGATGGCAGGAAGGCCTGTCGGCGCCCCCTTCCCCTCCCAAGACCCGCTGGGCCGAGATGGCAGTGAGGTCTGTAGGTCCCCTCTCCCCCTCACGACCCGCTGGGCCGAGATGGCAGGAAGGCCTTTCGGTCGGTACAGAACGCCCGTCCTCATGAAGGAATTCCGGCAGGCGAGAAGAATAGCCACGCCTTAGAGAGCAGGAAACCTCGTCTCATAACAGAGAACGTCTGTCACAGAGAGCCGTTTTTCAGAGTCTATGGGTAAAAAAGTGATTATGTGGGGCGATTGTCAATATCTCCAGCTCGCAGTTGTATTGGCGCATAAAAAGCTGGTGTTTTCAGAGTGGTAAGAAGCCTGAGTAAATATTGCGCGACGGTGATTCGTCGTAGCAAGGGGAAAGCAAGTGGCAGTGTGACCAAAAAAATGTTAATGGTGAGGAAAAAGGACAAAGGAGCAAAAAATTTCGGGTGAATGGTAGAGTTATGGCCATGGACGTAAAGGTGTTTAGGCACTAAGGGAGGGCGTAAGGAAAGCTGATCGACCTACCCCCTCGTTAGATATCTCTCGGACGACGAAGATTGGCTACGCCGTCCGGCCAATCACGTTCCATAACCACAGCCGAGCCCCCGCTGACCTTGAACGTGATTGGCCGAACGACGTAGAATCTTCGTCGTCCGAGAGACATCGAACGCGGGGTTAGTCCCAAACATGCTCTTCCCAGTTTCAGAAAAATGCGAGGAACGGTTCGACTTGGTTATAGTGACCCATAACGGGCAGGCTGACGCATCTTATTGCCATTCAGGCATGCCTGCCACTAGACGCTGTTGCCGGCTTTTTTGTTGGGCCTCTAGTGGCACAGAGTGGTAGGAGTTCAGCCTGATTGCGCTATGTAGAAACCCATGGGTGTGGCCCGCCCGAGTCTGCCCGCGCCGATAGGGTCAGGAGTCCACGGCTGTACTGGGACAGTTTCAATTGCTTAAGAGGCGACTTGTCTGGTGTTTGATGGCGTTTGACAGGCCAGACACATTACTCGACACGGTGTGGCCCTTCGCTGAATATCAATGGCTCAGGGGGCCATTTATGGTATTAAAGGCGGCACCAGCAGGCGTCAGTAATTAAAATCATGACAGCTTACTCTTTTTGATGGTGACAGTCTGACGCAAAGTAGGAAATGTCAAGTGCTACAAGCCTTGAACTCTCATTTGCTCAGCTCAAATTTTCATGACATTACTGTCTGCATTTCATATGCTTCTCGCCGCTTTCTGAGACCCAACAGACGTTTCGTTAAAACAGAAAAAAGCCTTAAACGGTAACGAGCGAATTAACCCGCGCCCCGTGTTGCGTGGGGGGGGGGGGGGGAGAAACACCCCCCCTCTCCTTTTCAGTCGATATCTCCCTAAGTACAGCAGATATCACCACAAAGCTTTCAGGACGTTTCCATGTATCAATTTTGCACCTTGTGACCAAACTTTTACCCAGAGGCCATAATAGGCTGGCCGTAAATGACGTCAGAGTGACGTCATATTCTGCCATTTTTTTATCCAAAAAAGGTCTTGCGAGAAGAGCTATCACGCCTACAGTTTTGGAGAAAGAAAATTTGAAAACGAAAAGGTGTAGAATTGACAGGGCTACAAAATTGCTGTCTCGGATTTTTAAAAATTTGGGATTTAAACCCCAAAAACTAAAAAAAACTTTGTATATAATACCCCAAAATACCAACAATTTTCAAAACTTCGAAACACTGGAACACCTATATGTTATAGAACTATTGGTGTGGTATTAGCTTGCCAATTTTGAGCTCAATAGCTCCATTTTTTTTTGTCAAGGCTATGGCGAAAAAAACTACCCAAAATTTGCGATGCAAAATTTACAAACTCAATTTTTAGCCGTTATAGACCCCGCAGAGTAAAACGAAGACCACCATAGGATTTCCGTGATGAGCTGCATCGAATAGACAGTAGACACCCTTTTTATGCAAGCATATCAACTTTGAAATATGCCCTTTTTTGACCTGACCTCGACCTGACCTCCACCAGAACGGAACCCAAACTGGCTCTAATGGTCGTCTAACCCAACCATTGAATTTGAAATGTAAAATTGGCCTGATAAAACATGCATCACACGACCCTAGTAAAGTTGGGTCCATATTGTGACCCTTTGTCACCTGACCTCTGTGACCTGACCTTGCATCAGTGACCTCCTAAGCAGTAGAGCACTTCATGGGCCGGATAAATCCGTTATCCACGGATAAATCCGCGGACCGGATAGGATTGGATTCTAAATTTGTTAAAAAAGAACGGATATGGGCGGGCCGGATTTGGGAATTGAAGGTTGAACCCGGATCAAAACGGATCAAAATTTTAACATTCAACATTGAAGTTAAAAATTAACCTAATGTGTTAAGCGGCAGGATGATACCTAGTTTACCAATGTGGTGATTTTCATGTGGTTTTAGGTTTATAAGCATGGTTTTTGGAACCATGATGGTCTGTGAGATGTATGGCTGTCTGGTCCCTTATATTGAATTTGTTAGTCCAGTTTTGGGTGAAACCAGTTATTGGTGAAACGGATTATTACGGATATTTTTTGGAAGTTTGGCTGCAATACGGGCCATGGGTGGGCCGGATTCTGATATTCAAAGAAAGGCGGATAATGGGCGGATCTGGATATGACTTGCCGGATATGGGCCGGGCCGGATCCTAAAAAGCCTATCCGTGAAGTGCTCTACTAAGCAGCATATGCATTAGGCGAACAATGCTGCATCGATGATTTTCGATAACATGCCTTTTATTTGATGTTATAACGCATTCCTTAGAAGGCCCGTAA